ACAAATAAATAAACATAACACACAAAAACACAAACATAGAGAGCATGTAAAAACAAACAAAGGAAGATAAAACAAAAGGGAGGGATAAATTAAAAGAGACACGACAGATGAGAAAACAAACAAGGAGATCTATAAAAAGGCTTGCCTGTAGAGGTGGGTTCTGAGCTGAAAACTACTGAAACTAAATGTGTCATTACATTTCAACATGCAATCAGAGACTTCACCACGATTATCTGCCTTTTTACTTAACTACATCCAAAGAAAACTGCCAACATACATGTCAATTTGGAAGGAAACATCTTTCAAGTGTCCAATGTCTCAGTGCGAGAAAGATAAATGCTCCCTACTGTGCCTGAACAGTGATCATCATCTAAGAGTTCCTTTTTGGTAAAAATTTAGTTGTCAAAAGCTTTCTAAATTCAGTCCACGGTGCTTGACACTTTCACACAATTGTGTTTTTCATGTCTTGCAGGATGGCCTGGAGGCACACACACTTACCAGGGAAGAGGAACGACAGAGTGAGAATGGAAAAAGGTAGTGTCAGGGTTGTGTCAGACACAATTATGCTATTTCTCCGAGCTGCATACAAAAGAGTGCAAATAGGCATGTTTGTGACCAATAAAACTGCGAGTTAACACAGACTGTGGCAGCTTGTCACTGTTTCCCAAAATGTCTGACTCATATGTGTCTTTGAACTAGACACCTCTACAATAAACTCTCCCTGGTGTGGATGAATGACACTAGCTTGTATGTGATGGTTATAAAGAACATTAAACTGATACATGGGCAGGTGGCTGGCCCAATAACAGCCTGTGTTATAGCTTCCCTGTGTCTATGGCCTTGGGCTGTATCATTACTTGGAGGTGAGTGTGTTGCCAGGTGACCCCCACAGGTAGTCCCCAAGACTGATGGATAGTGAAGGTGCGCTGGCCCCGTTTCCTGATAACAGATGAGTGGTCTTCCCGGAGCCAACATTGGAGAACAGCTGTGGAAATGAGAGTAAACCTTATCATTTGACTAAAATATTGTTGTCTGAAAATGATATAGCTGCTCTGACTTCTATTTTGTTTTGAGTTTCATTAGTAGCAGATTATTTAAGATATAACAAATGTCTTGTTTTCTTCTGTCCTGGGTGGGGACAGTATGTGTCCAGATGGGTGTAGTGCATCTGTTGGCAGTCGGATGGCTGTCGTCATATTTACTTCACTATTATGTAGGAAATTATGTCAAATGGGTGTGTGGTTATGAGAATGTCACTTTGGCAGCATTAGCTTTGGGTGCACACATAATTGTACTGACATAAATCCCCCAAGTATGTCACTGAGATGTTAAAAAGAAATGATGTTTTTGTACACCAATTTGTCGAAATATGAATTCAAGTTAGGGGTTAGGAGCTAACTTCACTGTGTTTTAGTGGATTTGTTTTAACCTAAAACATTTTTACATACATTTATATGTCAGGCTTTTGTCGCAAGCTCCTATACAGATGAGTGACTTTCAATAAGCTCAAGACAAGATGATAATTACCTGCATCATTGAAAAGCAACAAATATAGCATTAGTGGTAAGTAGGAAGTAAAGTAAAGCTTTATTTATATAGCACCTTTTTAACACAGAGGTACGAAGTGCTTTACAAACAACACACATACATATGGGTATTACATATAAATATGTACATGCATAACTATACCCAATCCATCATACATAGGGAGCATGTAAATACAAACATAAGGAAGATAAAACAGTGGAAGTGTCCAACTGCAAGGCAAGGAAAGAAATAAGACAGGTAAAAGTCAGACATGCTTTTGATATTCATTTTAATTTTATCATCCATTTAAAAGCAGAAATTAATTCTGCAATCCTACAGTCCAATTGATCATTTGTTAAAACCCTCCTTCAAACAGTGATTGTCCAGTCACAGCAGAGCA